CCTGCTGTTGATAGTCTTTCTGGCGTTTGCTTGGCAGCTTTTTGGGTTTGTGGAGCGCTACGGAGGCCCTGCCATGGCTGTGAAGACCAACAAGGAGAACCAGAAGTTGGCTGGTTTGCAGAACTTTCTTCTGACCCTCCAGCAGGGATCTGATAAAGAGAGTGAGTTCAGACATCCTCCTCTTGTGCATCTGTGGAGAAAGTGAGGATGTGGAACCTGCATCTGTCTGCATGAGGAGAAGTGGGGGGCAGATCTGAAGAACGAGAGACTGCAGGAGCTGTCCTGCACGGGTGTTTTTTAGTGGATCTGACTAGATGCCCTAGGCACTGGTAGGTATGGTTAGAAGATCTCCTGAGGTCCTTTCCAAGCTGAATGATGATGCAGTTCCGTGTTTACACTGCACACACTCAAGCTTTGCGCTGCTGTGACCTGCTGGCTCTGCAACCTGAGCTACCGTGGGTAGCTCTGTTCAGTGGTGCCAGATACAAAAACCAGATCTTCTTCTCCCCCTCCCCCAGTATTGAGACAGAATTTGGGATCTCTTTTGTTGAGTCTTTGTTCTCTGCCTGCATAGGTAGACCAGGTATCATGTTCCTGTAGAAGGGACCCGTCTATATTTCGTGCTTAGTCCCTGTCTTCAGACGTGTGGCCTAAGTTTCCTGCCTCTCGTTTTCTCTTTGGGCCGGCAGGGACTCCCCAGAGCCTTCCCGTGGAGGCTGAGAACGACCAGCTCCGAGCTGCCTCTCCACTGATGCAGATTGAAGGATTCCTCTCAGCCCTCACGAACGCAAACCAGGATGGCAGAGTCATTCTCAACAGGCAAGGTACTGGGAAGGGCGAGCTGGGGAGAGGTGGCGCGACTCGCAAGCCGGGCGCTTCGCTGGCAGTGAGGGAGGAGATCCTGAGCCTGGGGGGAGCCTGCAGCAACGTGCCTGTGCTGTCGGTGAGGCAGGCTGGCAGGCTTGGTCTGTCTGAGGGTGCTCGTGAACCCAAAGGGAATTTTTAACTGAGGGCCTTGGGGCCAGGGTTTGCAGCGCTCTGCTCCTGCTTTGGATATTGGGTTTTGTCTCGCAATTTACCGCGGCTCTTCTAAGGCTCCGGGAAGATTCGGGAGCAGAAGGTAACTTCCAGGTTGGTGTTACCTGTTGCTGCCTCAGGTTCTTGCTTTGAGAGGTGGGGACCTGCCAGAGTGCCCAGGGCAGAAGGGAGACACTCTCTCATATCCCTGAGTGTGTGCCACAGCTAGTTCCTGATGCTGTTTCTCTCCTTTTCCCAGGCACAGTTGGTCAGAGCAGCCTCAAATTCCTCTTGCTGAATCCAGCTGTCCACTTTGCCAAGGTGGTGGAAGAATGCCGTGCTGTAATCATCGCTGGGGGCACCATGCAGCCGGTGAGGCAATAAGGGTGCTATGCTGAGCTCTCGGGAGGTCTCCGGTGCTCTCTGCAAGCCGGCATGGAAAGACAGCAGCTTGGCCCCACTTGGATGTGCTGCTCTTCTCGCTTCCCGTGGTGTGTGTGGGGAAAAGGCCTCTCCCACCCACCCTTTTATCTCCCTAGTATGGTTTCCCTGTGTGAGGTGTCACACTGACTGTTTATGCCAAAAGTTGTACGTGCAAGGGCAGGATCGCCCTTGCAGCCTTTCTTGTTCTCAAGAAGCTGCAGGCTGAGGCTGAGCTCATGGTAGGTTGGAACTAGCACAGATAGCAGTCAGAGGATGGTGTAAAACCATCTGACCTTCTAAAGGGACAGGGATCTCTCAGGGACTGTCCCATAGGGGAATCTTTCAGAAAAATCAAGACTTCAGTATTGGTATGGCAGCGGGCAGCTTACCATCCTCCTGCTGTGTTACTGCCTGAGAGACAGGGTGTTTGTGTTGTAGAGAAGCGGTGAGGTGCGTCGGGTATCCCAGTTCGTTACGCTTACCCTGTTCCTGGACAGGGATGTGCTGAAATTTCCTCTTGGCCCTTTCGGTGACAAGGGAGGGGAGGGGGTGTGAAGTGCAGGAACCTCCTTTTTGGAAGGCCGCCATTCCAAGTTCGAACCCTTCAGACTGCAGCTCGGGAGAGAGGACGTAGTTGCACTCCACGCTGTGGTCTGGGCAGCGCATGGGAGCGGGCAAGGCTTAGACCACGGGCGCACTGAAAGGGGAGCCCC